ATCCGGTACTACTCCATGCGGGCCTTCGAACACGTCGCTGTAGGCGTCGAGAAGTTCGGTGATGCGTGGATCCGAAGGTGAGTCCGTCGATGAAGCGTCGTGTGGCGGGAGGGCGTGGAGAAAACACACCCCCATCTCCTCGATGTCGTCTCTGATGATGGAAGAAGTTCACCGGGTGATCCTTGCTTCGCAGCCATGACATGCCCAAGATCATATCGAATTTGGTGTCCAGAATGTCRAAGGACACCGCCTCACTTGCGTGAGGGGCAAAGTACACTGGGACGGCGTCAATGCACCGGTCGATGGACTTGTGCGTATGACCGTCTGCCAGGGTGACTTGCGTAGGCTGGGACTTCCTCCGGACACGTGGGCCAAGGCCGGCGCGTACCATGAAGTCCTGGCTGATGTAGTTGCGAGATGCTCCGCAGTCGATCAAGGCACTGCAGGTCGCCTCTCCGATCTGAATGCGTACGTATAGCAATGGTGCGTCGATGTCGTCGTACCGTTGCGTCTTGAACTCGCGGTCGATCTTCGCGATATACGCGAGAAGGTCGACAACCTCTGCTCTGTCGTCCATCAACGGAGCTGGTACTGCAGTGTGCGAGTAGTCCCGCAATTGTGCCATAAGCACGTTGCAATGCGGTTTCGGCAATCGTCCGGTCGAGGGAACGGGCATCCATTGGAAGTTCGTGAACGTCAATGGGTCGAGCTCTTCAAGTCTTGACCATGACGTCGAATCCCCGGCGATAGATTGCGGCGAAGCTGCCGAATCGGTTGCCGATGGTGATGAAACCGTGCATGTGGTGGACTGTTGCACGTGAAGCGGTTGGTCCAGCGGTGGAACCAAGTGGACAGCATAATTCTCGTAAGTATACCGAGGACTTGCGACATTCGCATCCTCCCCAGATGTGCAGGAGGCCGCTAGCAAGGCGGCCGAACCTGGCGGAGTAGAAGGTGGAGTCGCCTCACCTTCCGCGGAGCTCAGTTTCCTGAGCTGAGGCGGGGTCGTACATCCTCCTTGCCCTGATCTTGGCATAGGGAGGTCTTGTGCTTGGTGCTGTTGCACCAATAGCAGCTGTCGTAGCGGCCGCGGATCTTGTACTCCGCCTCGGTCAAGCCAAACTTGACCCATGGAAACTGTCCTGGCTGTCCATTTCCGGCCTGCGATGCGGATTTCGCCTTCCCATTGTTGCGGGACTTGTTGGTGCTTCGCGGCTGGACAGCGGCCACCTGATCTCCGTCACTTGATACTGGAGTGGCTGCTGGGTTATTTCCACTGTCCTGCTAGACTGGAGCGAAGTGCTGCAGCCGCGGACCAGTTCGTACCTTCTCCACATAGGTCGGCTGCCATGATGTTGATTTCTCGTGTGGAGCTGACCTGTTGGTCTTGATGATCTCCCTTGCTTTGTCAATGATCTCCGCGAAGGTTGAGTACTGCTCGCGATCACCAAGAGCTTGGGTCAATGCCGCACAGGACCTGTTGTAGAACTCACGGCGTAGATGCTCGAATGGTAGGTTAAGATTGGGCACAACCGCAATCTTCTGCCACTCCGTGAGCCAGTCCCGTGTTGYTGTGTTGCCCTGTGACATGGTGAACAAACGGTTGATGGCGAGTGCYGGCRCGTCGTCGACGATGAACCGCTTCTTCCACAGCCGTGTCAGTTCCTCCCATGTGATTACGTCCTTCAAGTCTGGTACGTCGACGCCGTGGGAGGTTGCCAGGTGGCTCAACCAGGTCTGGCATCCACCCTTTGAGTTCAAGAACAGGGCGCCGATGTACGCGTGCTTGGCTACTGGCAGAATCCTGAGTTGCGTTGTGAATGCTTCCCACCAGAGGACGAAATCCTGCTGCGTAGTCGTCGAACCTCTCCAGGTTGAAAGTTGGCATCTTGTACATCTTCGGATTGTCGTCCGCGTTTGTCGACTGCAGCTTCTGGACCTCGGTCTTCAATGTATGCAGCTGATTGCTGATGGTGGTGGTCGGCGCAGCGAAGGTGCTGATGTCGCCGAGCATTGCCACTACGTGGTCAACGCGGTCCTCCAGTTGGCGGCTTGAGGGTGCACTGCTGGAAGCTCCAGCAGCTGGTCCTGGTACAGCCTGTTCCAGGTCCAACAATCGGGCATTGAGTGTCCGAGTTGCATCCTCGTGGCTCTGCACTGTGCGGCGGAGCCTCGCCAACTCCTGATGCTGTTGCGTCAGGTCCTGGTGCTGTCTCTCCAACTCTAACCTTTGGTAGTTGCAAGCATACAACAACCGCGTCACGAGTTTGGAGAGGAACTCCTTGTGCTTTTCTTTCGGTGTTGCGTCGTCGCCGTTCAGTTGAAAATGCCAGTACTTGAGTCTGTCGATGCTGTCGGCTTCATGCCGCTGCAGCAGATCCTGGGCTTCCTTTCGGCGATCCTGGGCATCTGCTTCTGCATCGGCCTGTAGCCGCAGTTTCTCTGCTGCTGCTGCCTCTTCAGCTTGTATGCGGGCAGCCTCGACTGCCAGCAGGCGTTGTTCCTCAGCCTCTATCTGAGCCAGGCAACGCTGCTTGTAGGCGGCAATGGTCTCATTGGCCAGTTGGCCTGGCAGGCCTGTCATGTTGCTGACGTGGCACTGCTGCTTACGTGGCATTGCTGCTTACGTGGCACTGCGTCTGACGTGGTACTGCTGACGTGGCACTGCTGACGTGGCACTGTGTTGAATGTCACTGCTGACGTGGCACTGTGTCTGACGTGGCACTGCTTACGTGGCACTATGTCTGACGTGGCAATGTGACCTGGCACTGCGGACGTGGCACTGCTGATCTGGCACTGTGGATGTGGCACTGCTGATCTGGCACTGT